GGGCCTGCCGGTGGGGTGTTGCAGACTCGGGGAGGCCGTGTGTTGGTGGCTTTCTAGCTGAGTAGTGTGGCACAGCTCGTCAAGAAGGGACAGAGACAGTACACAGGGCTTGGTGGAATGGAGAAAGGACAGGAAGGGAGAAAGAGATAAGAAACCAAAGGAAAAATAAATAGATAAATAAAATTTTAAAATGGCACTAAGGGAGCCTGCCGGTGGGGTGGCACAGACCTAGAGAGGCTGTGTGCCAGTTGTTCTCTAGCCGAGTAGTGTGGCACAGCCTGTCGAGAAGGGGTGGAGACAGCACATGTAGCTAGGTGGGCAGGAGAAAAGAGAGCAAGGAAGGGAGCGAGAGATAAGAACCAAAAAAAAAAAGAAAAAAAAATGGTGTTGAGGGAACTTGCCAGTGGTGTGGCATGGACCAAGCAAGAAATTTTTAAAAAGTCAAAAAAAACAACAAAAATGACACTGATGGAGCTGGCCGGTGCAGGTGGGGCAAACCTGGGTGACAAGGAGCTGCTGTCTCTCCAGTTGAGCAGCCATGGCCCATTGGAAAGTGGTGGAAGCCACATAGAGGGAAGAAGGGTGGGGAATGGGACAGCATGTAGCCCTGGTCACTGGGTGCTCTGTGTCCTGTCGGGAGCTCTGTGAAGTTGCTTTCTTGTACTCCCTGTCAGCTGTTCTTGGTGACTGAGGTCCAATATGTTCAGTCTGTGCCACATTAGCTGGTAGGGACCTCGCCTCCATAGCTCTCTTCATTCTCTGTCCATTTCTTATTCCATTCGGTGCTTGGTTGAGTTCTTTACCTCTTCATTTGACACTTAGGGTTCCAGGATTAATGTTTGTATCTGTTTTACTTAGTTTCTCAGGTCTTTCCTGTAGAGCGACTGTGTGTGCTTCTGTCTATAGTGCCATGTTGGCTCCACCTTTCTTTACAAAGTGGTCTTTTGGTTTTTTTTTAGTGCCATTTTTGTCAGATGTTAGTATCAATGTTCTATTCATTTCATAAAATAAGTTAGATTTTTTTTCTTTTTCCTTATCTCATATATGTAAAGCAAGGTCTCTTAATAGTGGCACAATTGACATTTTTGGCTGAATAATTCTTTGTTGTAGGGGGCATCCTGTACATTGCAGGATGTTTAGCAGCATCCCTGGCCTCTATCCACTAAATGCCATTAGTTCCCCACAGTTGTGATCCTCAAAAATATCGCCAACATTGCTGAATGTCCTCTGGGAGACAAAATTGCCCCTGGTTGTTAGTGATCTAAAGCTAAAGAAAAGTACCTGTAACTTTTCAAATTTTGGATCAACTGATCTTTGATATAATTAGAAACATCTGATATTCTACAGTGATTGTTTGGGGTTTAATTGAAGATCTTTCACTTATCATAAAATATCTTTTTTAGTCTGTCTTGGTCATCTAGTGCTGCTATAACAGAAATGCCACAAGTAGATGGCTTTTAACAAAGATAAATTTATTCTCTCACAGTCTAGTAGGCTACAAGTCCAAATGCAAGGCATCAGATACAGGGGAAGTCTGTCTCTCTGTGTCGGCTCTGGAGGAAGGTCCTTGGGATGCATCAGTCTTCCCTTGGTCTAAGAGCCTCTCAGGGCAGGAACTTCAGGTCCAAAAGACATGATCTGCTTCCAGCACTGCTTTCTTGGTGGTATGAAGTCCCCATGTCTGTTTGCTCGCTTCTCTCTTTTATATTTCAAAAGAGATTGGTTTAAGACACTATCTAATCTTGTAGATCTCATCAATATAACTGCCACTAATCCATCTTATTACATCATAGTGACAGAATATACAATACATAGGGAAATCACATCAGATGGCAAAATGGTACACAATCATACAATACTGGGAATCATGACCTAGCCAAGTTGACACATATTTTGGGGGGGACACAATTCAATCCTTATAATTTTGTAGCAAATTTCTATAACTAGAATAATTTCTTTTACAATCGCTATCTAAAAATGATTTCCTTTTTTTTTCACAGAAGGAACTATCATCTCCTATCATGTTAAGAGCAAATTTTGTTTTTGTTGTTTTTAGTTGCCTTTGAGTTGATTCTAACTCATGGTGACCCAGTGTGTGTAGAGTAGAACTGCCCCATAGGGCTTTCAAGGCTGTGACCTTTTGGAAGTAGATTGTCAGACCTGTCTTCTGAGGTGCCTCTGGGTGTGTTTGAACTGCCAACCTTTCGGCTAGTAGTTGAGTGCTTAACTGTTTGCACCACCCAGGGATCCCTTGGTTTTTTATTTTTTGAAAGCTTCCAAGTCATTCATATCTCACAAAAGTTACAATCATTAAAAAATGATTTGGGATGCTTAATTCTGATTTCAGGTGAGTAACTTCATCAATTCTTTGCTGACTGTTGGGAGGAAATTTCTTCTCAGTTTCCTATGCATTTTACTGAAAATGTCTCTTCATATTGCCAACTTTATTATTTCTAAACAATTTTTTTATGCAATGGATTTTTTGCTCTGTTGAAGCAAACTAAAATTGCCATTAATCATGAAATTTGCAGCAAAACTCTTCTTCCAGTCTCTCCTCATCTTTACTATTCCAGCTGTGGTACTAGTTTTGGCATCTGTGTTCAATTCTGCTTGGATAGATGCCTTCATTTTAAACGTAAAAATTTGTCCATGTTTTACTTAGCCTAGAAAAATGATTTGTTATAAAACAATAAATATTTCGATATATTTACCAACTGCAATTAAGATAGGCATCACTGTAATGTGAGCTGTCCACATAAAATATTCAATTAAACACATTGTGATTTGTATGTACATTAAAACCTGTTGCTGTCAAGTTGATTCCAACTCATAGTGACCCTATAGGACAGAGTCGAACTGCCCCGTAGGGTTTCCGAGGAGGAGCTGGTGGATTCGAACTGCTAACCTTTTAGTTAGCAGCCATGCTCTTCTCCACTGCGCCAAAAAGGCTCCCTATGTACATTAGTGCATAGAAAAATAATCACTCAAACTGAATCTATCCATTTACACTAACTAGATCAGTGATGTGCTTATGTGTAACACTGGAAACGATGCACATATTCAAAGTGCACAATTACAATACAACAATACTATCTTACACAATGCAATGATTTAAGTGACACATTTTTCTACAGAAATAATAGAATTGCATTTAATAGAAAATATTTTATACTCCTCGGTTTTAAATTTTAAATCACTGAAAATTAAAAATTCAGCTCTTCATCCATACCAGCCACATTTCAAGTGCTCAAGGACCACATGTGTCTAGTGGTTACCATATTGGACAAGGCAGCTCTAGTATGTCTCATCAAAATTTCAAAGGACACTCATCTTCTTGCAGATGTCTTTAGTTCAGGCTTAGTAATTCATAGGAAAGTTTTGATATATTCGTTTTTTATCACAGGGTCCATGTTTTGAGAGAAAAGAGAAACTACTTCTCCAGTTCAAGCACCTGACAATTAACAAAATCCCGGAGAAGGACAATTGGCACATAAAGAGAGTCATTAAAATTGACTATAACAATGTTTCTCAAATTTCAGCTTCCCCTGGAATACAGACTCATGTTTGAGAAGCATTGCATTAAAGTTAAGTCTAACTCTACAAATGATTATTAGGCTTCAAAGTGACCATATAAAAAATTATAAGTGTGGATACTCACATTTATGAAATCTTGTGGCACCACCCAGTATTAAGATGGTTATCCATTTGATCATTTAAATGAAAACACAACATTTAAACATGCTCAAAGAAAATTCATGAACTTCTAAAAATATACTTGGAAAACAAGACCTGGAAGTTATATTGCTACAAAGGAAATCACTCTCAGATACCCAAAATATGAGTAGATAAGGTCAATTTGATAATGATACAATTTTATTCTGGGATGCAGTGTGAGGTAGAGGAAAGAGCTTTGGCACTAGGCATAACCAGTAAAAAAAAAAAAAAAAAAAAAACAGTTGCCAACAAGTCATGGTATTTCAGAGTACAGCAGTGCTCGATAGGGTTTTTCAATGGCTTTCAAGTAGATGGCCTTCCATGCAGCCCTGGTGGTGCAGTGGTTAAGAGCTGGGCTGCTAACCAAAAGATCAGCAGTTCAAATCCACCAGCCGCTCCTTTGAAACCCCGTGGAGCAGTTCTACTGTGTCCCATAGGGTCGCTGTGAGTCAGAATTGACTAAACAGCAACAGGATTTTTCTTCCACAGTACTGCTGGGTGGCTTTGAACTACCAACCTTTCAGTTAGTAATGGAGAGCAAACTGTTTGCACCACCCAGAGACCTGAGCTAGCATACCAAAAACAGCAACAACAACCTGTTACTGTTGAGTTGATTCTTTCTCATGGTGACACTATAGGACAGAGTAGAACTGCCCCATAGGGTTTCCAAAGCTGTAAATCTTTATGGAAGCAGACTGCTACATGTTTCTCCTGTGGAGCAGCTGGTGGGTTCAAACCGCTGACGTTTTGTCTAGCAGTCAAGCACTTAATCAAGGCATCACCAGGGCTCCTTTGAGCTAGCATAAACGAAAACCAAACTCACTGCCATCGTGTTGACTCCAACTCATAATGATCCTATATACCAAGGATCAATTCTTAAATTCAGTGTGTACAACATGGTGACTTTGGACAAATCCCTTAGCCTCAGTGAATTTGAAATTCTCTGCAAAAAAAGTCATAATGATACCTACCTCACAGTGTTGTTGGGAGGATTAATGTAGATGATTTAGTTAAAAGCCCCCAATGTGATTCCTAGCACATACTTAATGCTTATTAGTTGCCTTCTTCTTTCCTGTGGATTCTTTCAGAGAAAATCTGAACTAACTCTGGTTGCCAAGCTTGGCTTTTTATTCATACTCTCTGTTCTCAGGCAACTTGTTTAAATCAGCTCCAAACTCCTATTAATCACTCTCTTCCCCATTTCAGGTTGCATTCACAGCCAAGTCACTCATTCCAGCACACAATAAGTTATGTGTAAGAATGTTGAACAAAATGTCCAGCCATACTTGTCCGATGGGTGAGATTCCACGAAATACCCAGCAAAGGGACAATAAATTCGGGGTTGCAGGTCCTTCACCAGCCGTGCCTTGTAGTTGAGGAGCTTCTTCCTTTCTGTTTTGATAAATTGGGCTTTCCATTCCTCTGAAATGACAGGGTTTGGGTTAGAGTCTCCTCTGTTCAGAAACAACAAGGAAACAAAAGTTCCACTAGATTGGAGCTCTTTCAGAAGATAAAATTGATAGGCGGCTACAGCAGAAATAGAGCAAAGCTATCTGAATCATCAGTGCAGGGTTTTCGTCTGCTTTATTTTGATCAGTCTACTTCCATAAGGATTTACAGCCTTGGAAACCCTATGGGGCAGTTAGTTCTACTCTGTCCTATGGGGTTGCTATGAGTCAAAATCAACTCAACGGCAATGGAGGGGTTTTTTGCTGGGGAAAAATAACCCCACAAATAACTAATATTTTGATTGAAAAAATGATCAACAGTATCCCAGTTGGTTACCGGGAAAATGTTACCAGACCAGCTAAAGGCACTGAGGCCCCTCCTTGTGTATAGCAGTTCGCTGAATACACAGGGTGGCGTGCATAGTTGTACCGTGCATGCATGCACATTTTAAGGACATCGTAATTCTTGAAATTACTAACTTTTTACTAACGTGGGAATGACTTCATCACCTTAATGGATTGTAAAAGCAAAGTATGCTCATCATAACCTGACAATGCACAGTAGTTAAGAGCATGGGTGTTGCAGTCAGACTTAGGGTCAAAATCCAGCTCTACCACTTACTGGTTATGCAGCCATGGGCAAATTATCCACATTCTTTAAGTTTATTTCCTCTTGTGTACTTCGGAATAATGATGCCTACCTCGCAGGGTTTTTCATCTGTTTATTTGCTCATTCATGGAACTGATATTTACTGAACACCTACTATGTGGTTCTAGGCACTGGGAATACAGTGGTGAACAAGACAAAGCAGGTCCCGGCTGTCATGGAGTGTTCATTCTTATTGAGTGAAGCAAATAATTAACAAGAAAATAAATAAGGTCATTTTAAAGGCGGTTGTGATACCAAGAAGATAAAACAAGGCAAGGGGCTAGAAAGTGGCTGGGCGAGGTGGGATGGGGTAGGGGGACATCACTGGATAGAGCCGTCAGTGAAGAGATGACAGTTGAGTTTGTAGATCAGGGAAAAGAGCACTCCAGACAGTAGAAACAGCAAATGCAAAGACCTGGGCAGGAATGCATTTGGAATGTTAGATGTGAGGAACAAAAGCAGGCTAGGTGGGCTGATGTATAGCAAGCAAGGGGGAGACTTGTAGTAAAGGAGGCTGAGGAAGTAGGCAGGACCCAGTTCATGTAGGGCACAGTGTCAGAGAGTTGTTAGCATTGTTATTGTTGTGAAAGTTTGTTAAACACTGAAAAAAATAAGTTACCCATAACTCAGACATAACCACTACTAACATTTTAGTGTATTCCAGACGTTTTTATTAAAATGCATGTGCATGTGCGTATGTCTGTGCATGCCCACACATGCGCACGCGTGAACACGCATACGCACACGCAAGATTGCTGATTGTTAGGGTAGTGGAGATTCCGCCTCACATCTACTATTTCCTTCCAGGTGAAGGGAAAACACTGTGATGACATTTCTGGCTTCTTTCCTTCTCTTTATTTTCTCTGCATAGAGACCTGGAATGACGGCTCTGACTGGTCAATTTGGGGGGAATTTCTAGCATGTTCAGCTCTGCTCTGCGCCACTTCCTTTTAAGAGTTAGCCTGCCCACAGCAACCAAGAGTTTTCTGCCCTTCCATATGTTGTAAGTTTTGCAGAGGCTCACTGCTGCAGGGTGAAGCAAACCCCAGTTCAGCGCTACCTGATATTGGGCTGATAATTCTGTCTAATTCTGGGATTCAGGATTGGCAGACCCACGTGACCAACAGATGTAAAGCCACATACTCTAGTCTGGCCTGAGTCAGTAGTGAAGGTGATAGTTTTGACTCCATCTTTGCTCCTGGTTTTACTGCCCAACTTGTTTAGAACTCAGGTGGGCCTCCTTGGCGAATGCAACACATTACATATTTACTAAAACTCAGGCTTGGTCAGGGGTGTGAATTTGAGAATTTCTCCCTTTTTAGATAGCAGGAACAAAGGAGAGGGGATAGAGAAGAGGGTGACTGTATTCCATAGGCCGGATTATCCAATAAGCAAGGTAAGCACGGGCTTACTTGTGCCTATTTACTAATCTGTGGTGAACAATTTCACATGGGTTTCACTTTGATATGGTGTGGTGAAACCCATGTGAAATTGTTCACTACAGTTAGTAAATAAGTACAAGTAAGCCCATGCTTACCTTGTGTTATGGATTATTTTGTGTCCCCAAAAAATTTATGTCTAATTGCCTAGACCATGAGTCTCAGTATTGTGTGGTTGTCCACCATTTTGTGATCTAATGTGATTATCCTATGTGTTGGAAATCTTAACCTCTATGATGTTAATGAGGCAGGATTTGAGGCAGTTATGTTAATGAGGCAGGACTCAGTCTACAAGATTAGGTTGTATCTTGAGTCAATCTCTTTTGAGATATAAAAGAAAATAAAGAACAGAGAAGGGGAACCTCATACCACCAAGAAAGAAGAGCCAGGAGTGGAATGTGTCCTTTGGATCCAGGGTCCCTGTGCTGAGAAGCTCCTAGACCCATGAATGATTGATGACAAGGACCTTCCCCCAAGGCCGACAGAAAGAAAGGCTTTCTCTGGAGCTGGCATCCTGAATTTGTACTTCTAGCCTCCTAAACTGTGAGAGAACAAATTTCTCTTTGTTAAAGCCATCCGCTTGTGGTATTTCTGTTATAACAGCACTAGATAACTAAGACACCTTGCTTATTGGATAACCTGCACCTGCTATTTTAGGGGAATGGATAGACAGGTCTGTGGCTGGAGAAACATGGTGTAATTGGGTTATCTGATAGATCTGTGAGTCTACAACTTGCCAATTTTTACAGAAAAAAAGTTTTAAAATTTATTTTAATGTAAGAATTCAGTTATTTAGGCTCACTGAAGCTGACTATAACATGTTAAGCTTTCTTTCATTTAACCATATTTTCAGTTTACCAAGAACATTTAAGCCTGGATTACCAGTCTCACAGCTTTCCTATCCTGCTCTATAGTATACACCGTGGATTCAAGTGATTCTTTTCCTTGACTTCTCCTGAGTTTCTCAGCCTTTCCTTCATGTTTCATTATCATATTCTGAGCAAGATTTTAGTTTGTTATCTGGGGTTTACAAATCGGTTTCCAAGGTCCCCGGATGGCACAAATGGTTTGCATTCAGCTGGTAACCAAAATGTTGGCAGTTTGAACCCACTCAGTGGCACTGTGGAAGAAACAGGCCTGGCAATCTGCTTCAGTAAAGATTACAGCCAAGAAAACCCTATGGAGCAGTTCTACTCTGTAATACATGGGGTCTCCTAAGTCACAAACCAACAACAACAACAACAACAAAATCAACAGCAAGTCAGCTTCCCAAAAAAAGATTGTAAGCTTCTTGCAGGTAGGGACCACGTCTTTTATCTTTGCATTCATTCCCACAGTATTTAGCAAAGTGCTAAATACAAGTGCTGCTTTTTAGTAAATTAGCTACCTTGGAGTCGATTCCAACTCATGATGACCCCTTGTGTGTCAGAGTAGAACTGTACCCCGTAGGATTTTCAATGGTTGTTTTTTGGAAGTAGATTGCCATGCCTTTCTTCTGAGGTACCTCTGGATGGACTTTCCAGGTTAAGGCATCTCCAACATTTCCCTTAGCAGTCGAGTGTGTTAACCGTTTACACCACCCAGGGACTCCTTGCTTCGTATTACAAGATGCCATCAAGTCGATTCTGCCTCATAGCAACCCTACAGGGAAGAACAGAACTGCCCCATAGGATTTCCAAGGCTGTAAATCTTTACGGGAGCAGACTGCCACATCTTTCTCCCGTGCAGCAGCTGGTGGGGTCAAACCATCACCTTTCAGTTAGCAGTTGGGCACTTAAACAATGCACCACTGGAGCTCCTTTCGCTTCATATTACCTCCATATAAAATAGTACCTGTAAACTTTCCGCCACTGAAAGTCATTGGAAAACCAGATGCTCCTCCAGCAAAATCACTCATCATGAAAGCAGCTTTCTTAGGCAGCCTTCCCCCATTGGGTCTGGTGCAGTCCACTGTATTGAGTATTCTATGGCCTGTGAAGAAATAAAGTGGTATGGGTATTCAGGGTGAAATCTCAAACAGGCTTGAATTCCTAAACCTATACAGATTATAAACTGTATAATCTGATTGATTTAATGAGGGAAGGACTGCTTATGTCCAAGAAAAAACGAAGAGACTAAGATATCAACAACTAAAGGCTTAAATAGCATACTTTGGATTTTCAAGTGAGTAAGTTTATCCTGTTTGACTTGGTGGGTTCTGGGTGTCTCATGAGAACAGTTACTTTGGTTCCACTTCAGGATTGTAGACAGATTGAATTCCTAACTCAGCCAACTGTCTCCAAACTTTGAACCCAAAGGATCTAGGGGAGAGAGTGACAGGATCAGCCCAAATTCTTTAACCTTTTGCAAATTCCGTGCAAAGCTCATATTCAACAGATTGTTGAGTCACTAATGCCACCTTCTCACAGGAAGGGAAGACATGTACTGATGTTATTGTGTAATACAATATAAATGTTCAATAAAGATAAGTTTAAATAAATTACTATAGGTGCAATATGAAATATCTATTGTCTTATGAGAAAAGCTTTGCACCTGTCACTACGTAGACTGCAATACTGGTAATTTGTTCTCCGTAAAGATTATCTAAATGATAGCCCACTTTTCTAAGACAAGAATACCTGTTACCCATTGCTGTCAAGTCAATTCCTACTCATAGCGACCTTATAGGACAGAGTAGAACTACACCATAGGGTTTCCAAGGAGCGGCTGGTGGATTTGAACCACAGACCCTTCGGTTAGCAGCCGAGCTCTTACCACGGTGCCACCAGGGCTCCAAAACAAGAATATAATATACTACATGCTATGAAAATAAAGATAAAAGAAAAAGATGACCTTAAGATGAAATTCTGGATAGCTATTATTATACTACCAATAGTATTTTTCATTTTTCATTTTCGATGAGGGTAAGAAAGTACCTTTGTACTCCACAATAATGCAAGTATCCATCTCTGGATGAACACCATCCATCAAGATCATGAATCGAAGATTCTTGTCTACCTGAAATTTAACAGTAAAACCAACAACTGTGTATGGCAGCTTGACTTTTAATTCAAGACTTGATAAGTCTTCTGGAAAGACTGGTAAATTAGTGACTTAAATTTGAAGAGATGTCTCTCATTCAGAATTAGATTTATTAACCTATCTTACAGTTATTCTATTGTTAAATGCAAAGAAAAACATCTTTACCAAGGATAGTGCTGCCCAACATTTGAAGCTCAAATAAAGGCTGTATTGGATCACAACAGAGGGTTCTGGACAGAGCTGGAGAAGGATGTAGAACATAATTTTAACTCACAAAAAAAAGACCAGATTTACTGGCTTAAAGGAGACTGGAGAAACCCTGAGAGTATGGCCCCCAGACACCCTTTTAGCTCAGTGGTGAAGTTATCTTCGAGGTTCACTGTTCAGCCTGGGAGTGGACAGCCCCATAAAACCAAATGGGACTAATGAGGTACAGTAGTCCAGTGACAAGGGCCAGAAGGCAGAAGGGGACAAGGAAGCTGGTGATAGGGAACCCAAGGTTGAGTAAGGATATTGTTGATGTGTTGTGAGATTGTTAACCATTGTCATAGAGCAACATTTGTAGTAACTGTTAAATGAGAAACTATTTTGTTATGTAAGCCTTCATCTTAAGTGAGAATAGCAGCACAATTGGAAGAGCGTAGTCAATGTCACTGAACTGTGCATGTAGAAATTTTTGAAATGGTGTATCTTTGGCTATGTGTATTTTCACCAAAAGAAAAGGTTGAGAAGTTAGAGGGTTGACATGTTGTGGGGTTGTTAACCAATGTCATAAAACAATATGTGTACTACTGTTTCATGAGAAACTATTTGTTCTGTAAGCCTTCACCTGAAGTACAATTAAAAAATAAATAAATAAATAAAGGCTGTATTTACACTCTACCAAGTAAAGACAAAATTGGCCATTGCTTCCTTAATCTTAAAGAGAATACCTCACCAAAAATTCACCCTGGAAAGTATAACTGGAAAGTGTGAAAAGAACACAGATATCTGACCTGCTGCCATACTCCAAATGGTACAACATTGATATTCGTCAACTGGACACCACTCTGATTCAGATTCCAAAATACAGGTCTTTCTGTGTTTCCAACATAAATGGGAATATCTGGTCTTCTCTTAGCAAGCTTTTTCAGTGTGGGGTAACTAGAATCAGACAGACAGAAAGATTGAAAGTTTTATTAAAAAAACACACATAGGATCATCTAGTACAAGAGACAGTTTGCTCCTTATACCAACACATTAACTGAGAAGCAAAGAATTGAAAAAACAGACTCTCGCCAGAATCCAGAAGAAGAGTTTCTGCTCAAGATTGACTGTAATGGTGAGAGGAGTTTTCTGGAAGATTCCTCCTTATCGTTAGAACATATCACATGCCATGGTGTGTACATCAACCAAGCGTGCAGGTTCCATCTTCTACATTGATGCTGCTTTGAGTAAGGGTAGTTTTAACAGAAGGTACAAAGAGGTTGTGGGCAGGTGAAGATAACCATGATCTCTATTTCTTCTTGCTCGTCAAACAGCATCTCCTAGTCAGAGAGAGGACGGGGACATGGTGCTGGATGAGGAGAACCCGTGGGTCAGAGTTTTTCAACCTTCCAAGGTTGATAGCCACACTTCAAAGTTTGATAATGAAATAATGTGTCCTTTGTCCTTAAGGAGGGTCAGAGCTTACCAGCTAGGCAACACAATACAGTGTAGGGAAAAGCTACACTGAACATTTGTAGTAAACCTGGTGCAGTACACAATCAATCATCCAAGTGTTTTTGAATACTATACATTAACTCAAATTTCATTTATCAATCACTTATTTAAATAAAAGGATGGTGCACAATTGTGGGTTGTGGTAACAAGATGAATAATAAATAAACCAATGGCTAGGTACCTATTATATTTCAAACATGGTGCTGGGAAATTTCACTTTCTTTTATTTGATCCTCTCAAAAAAAAAAAAACAGGTTTTTTGATTGTTTTCGTAGATAAGGAAAAATATTCAGAAATACACAACTAACAGATTGTAATTTGATATTCAAATTTGGATTTTCTGATTCTAAACCGAGTGTTTCTTTTATTATAAGATAGCTCCTAATTTTGGGGGGGTCTATCCTATATGGGGTTCATTGAGCTTCTTGGATGGTCAGCTTTTCATCCTTCATGATATTGGGGGAGTTTTCTGTCAGTAGTTCTTCAATAATCCTCTCTGTGTTTTCTGTTTTCTCCTCCTGTTCTGGAATTCCAATCACTCGCAGATTTTTGCTTTTGATTGTATCTCACATAATTCTCAGGGTTTCTTCACTTTTCTTCATTCTTTTTTCTGATTTTTCTTCAGAGTTGTATCCAAGTGTTTGTCTTCAATTTCACTGATCCTATCTTCCATTGTTTCAAACCTGCTCCTCTGCCCAAGACACTGTCTATTTCTGAAATCTTGTTATCTTTTGGATTTCTAATTGTTGTTTTTGTATGATTTCTAGTTGTGAATTTATTTAAGCATTTTTTCCTGTATTATTTTCTTGAATTCTTCAATTTTTTGTCTGTATTTTCCACAAATATTTCTGTCTTTTCCATGGATTTATCTATTTTTTCCTCATTTTTGTCTGCTTTTTGCTTCAACTCTTGGATAATTCTAAATAGTAGAGATTTGAATTCCCTATCAGGTAGTTCTAGTGCCTTTTCTTCTGCTGGAAAGTCATCTGCTGTTTTATTTTGGACATCTACTAGAACCATCCTGTCCTATTTTTGTATATGTTTTGATATTGTCTGCTGTCTTTGGGGCATTCAGTAGTTATTTTGCTCTTTTATTGATTGTAGATTTGTTTGTTTCATCCTTATTTTTTGTTTTATTTGGTTATGTCTGAGCAGGCAGGCTGTGCATTCTTCATTGTTTGCTCATCTGTGGGCATGATACTTTTCACTTCCTTCTCTAATGGGCAGAGTCAGTCACTCAGGTATGGTACAGCAGTGCAGGTCCAGCTGAAGGGGAGTTGCTGGAATGGGTTGTTTGTGACACATACTAGGGCTGACAGGGCAGACTGGAAATCAGCACAGGGAAGGTTCTGGTAGGCCTGCCTGTGCTGCTTGGGAGAGTGATGTTTAGCACACGGTGCAGGTAGGCAGGAAGGAGGGGGGTGATTGTGATGTGTGGAGCTAGGATGGGTATAGGAAAGAGGAGAGAGATGAGAGAGGAACAGGAGTCAAAAACGTACACACAAATAAACAAAAAAGAGTGCTAAGGGAGCTTGCTATTTGAGTGGAGAGATGAGATATTGAGAAATGGAGAACAACAAAAAGAAAAAAAAGAAAAGGGTAAAAGAGAAAATGAATAAATAAAAATTAAAGGAAAAAAAAGAAAGAAAGAAAAGCTCCCAGGGATCCCACTGGTGCAGCTGCTAGGACTGGGGAAGATGTTCCAGGCCATGAAGTAAAGCCTAGCTAGAAAGGTAGAGGTGTCACACAGCACCAGGTACTCAGGAGACAGGGAGAGAAGGTAAGTATAGAGAGACGAGAAACTGGAAATGAAGAAAGACAAAAAGGGAAAAAGAGAGAGAAGAAAACAAAACAAAAAACAAGAAAAAAGAAATGCCTCCGGGGATGTCACTGTGCATCTGCGCAGAGTAAGGGAGTAGCTCTCAAGCCACACAGTACCGCCCAGCTAGAAGGGGCTCCCAAGCCGAGAAAAGGAAAAGAAAACAAACAAACAAATCAAAACAGAACAAATCAGAACACACAAACAAAAAAAGCCCCGGGTGTCCCACCAGCATGGCGGCACAGCCCGGGAAGCAGTTTCACAGTCGAGCTGTGTTTCGCAGTTTTTCTGGAAGAAGCAAAGGTGACACACGGAGCCAGGTATTTAAGAGACAGGAGGGGGAGGTGGTGAGAGGTAAGGAAGAAATCTAAAGAAGCGGAAAAAAGCAACACCAGCAGCCAACAAATGGCACTCAGGGAGCTGGTCAGTGCGGGCAGGTGGAATCCAAGTAGCACAGAGGTGAAGCTTGTGATTCCCGGCCAAGAGACTGTGGCTGCGGGAAGCAGAGGAGGCCGAGTGGGGGTGAAGACGGGTGGGGGTGGGAAAGCATATATCACTGGTTACTGGTCATTGTGTCTCCTTCTGGAAGCTCCACGAAGCTGCTTTCTCATACCCCTGTTCACTGATCTCCGATAGGAGTCCAGGATGGCGGACCCGTGCTGTGATAGCTGATGGGGGACCTCTGCATGTATCTCTCCTCGCTCTCTGTTCTCAGTCAGTTTCTTATTCCATTCGGTGCTTGGCTGACTTTTTTATCTCTTTATTTGATGCTTAGGGTTTCAGGATTGACATGTGACTCTGACTTAGTTTTTTGGATCTTTGCTGTAGAGGGACGGTGTGGTGCTTCTGTCTGTAGCACCATGTTGCCCGGAAGTCTCGATAGTTCTTAATTTTAATGAGTGTACTAACTGGTGGAAAAATCAGACTTGTACATAGACTATAATGTCAGGCAAAATAATATAAGGAAAGCATAAACAAATCTGCTTATCAGCACTTAACTGTAATAATAGTCACATTCCAGCACTGTGTTAAAAGCTGTCCAAATAGTAGAATCAGAGGGAGATGGGGTGGAACTGGTAGGTTTTTCTCCCCCTAAAACAATGGATTCAAAAAAATCAAGGGTTTTTTCACTATGCCTTCAACATCTGGGTTCAGCAATCAAATCTTGTGCCTTAAAATACTGTGAGAGTTATGCTAAATTACTCTAAAATTGATATTTACTGTTTTCTGATTTCTTTAACTTCTGATAATTTTTACTAGTATCTATTAATAACATATTATAATGTACTCCATATTTACATTAAAAAATTACAACTTTTTTTTTAATAAAGATGGTTTACTAAAGCACTTTGGCCTTTTCCCTTGTTTTTCTGAATCAGGGAGGTTTTATTCTATAAATAAAGGTCAAAAGGGAGGAAACAGTCTCACCGGCAAATAACTGCCATGTTTATTAGTCAACTGATAAAGAGTCAAAGAGTAAGGGTCTATCAAGGAGATAGGCCCAAAGGAGTAAAAATTACAAACTTTGGTCACTTTTTAGTATTAAGTTATCTGCAATACACTGCACAGCAATGTGTTGTGATACTATAGTTGAGAACTGGTGTTCCAATGCATGGCACACTTCAGCCCACACAAACCCCTGAAACTAAAACTAAATTTGCTTTTATGCCAGTGGTTGGGAAATAAGTGACATTAAAATTCTTTTACCAATTGCTATCAAGTAGACACCAGCTCATGGCAACCCCATGTGTGTCAAATACAACTGTACTCCATAGGGTTTTCAATGACTGATTTTTCAGAAGTAGTTTGCCAGGCCTTTCTTCCAAGGCACCTCTGGGTGGACTCAAGCTTCCAACCTTTTGGTTAACAGTCAAGTGTGTTAACTATTTGCACCACCCAGGGACTAAAATCCTTACCCTCCCTAAAATTCAGTATTTCACTGTATTCCCATAGAAGTTCTCACATTACGACCTTAGGCAACTGTATCTTATAACAGACACTATAAAGTGATCGCCTCATTTACATGATATTTTTATCCCTATACAAGCTATAAAAAATTGCCACCTCACATTATTGTTATCACACAATGCATGAACCCAGGGCTCTCATAATCCTGAAATTGTCCAAATTTTTTCTAGAAGCTTGTGTGGAACAAAGATACCATGCAGTCAACAAGCAATTTTTAATCATAGCACCACAATATACTAGTAGGTTGTAATCAATAAAGAAGCATGCTGTAATTTTTTACTAAAACAGCTAATTATTTATTTGTAAATTATTTCCTTTAAAAAACAAATTACAGCATATTCATACCTCAGAAATTCCATATACTTTGGAATAGAAAATCTAGGTACCAGTCAACTGGGAAACAACCTATTATTCCTAACCTTGGACATTTCTATCAAAGGATGTCCTACATGTGAACTTCACTTGTCATGCAGGCTCACAGAAGGAAAAAAAGTTGAAATTGCTTCATTAGAACATTGTGGGCATTGCTGTGTGTTGGCAACCCATCAGAAATGATACAGACTTCAAAACAAAAAAGAAAGGACATGACCCTGTAATTAAGCAAAGGGGTTGGGAATATGATCCTCCCACTTCTGAAAACTCAGTTTGTTTGCAAATATATTTGGTTTCTTAAGGGGAAGTTTTCTTTCTGCCTCCTTTTTGATTGCTGGGTTAGGGAAGTTTCGGTTCCTATCATATCATTATGCTCTGGTTTCAATGGGGCTAACTCAGGGTTAAAATGTTGGGGGCTCAGTGTTGCTGTTGTTGGTTCCTGTCAAGTCGATTCTGACTTTTGGTGACCCCATGTGTGCACAGTAGAACTGTTCCATAGGGTTTTCAAGGTTATGACCTTTCAGAAGCAGATCACCAAACCTGTCTTCCGGGGCAGCCCTGGGTGTGTTCAAACCATTAACCTTTCAGCTAATAATTGAGAACTTAACTGTTTGTGCCACCCAGAGACTCCAGTGTTGGGATGTTCTAAATCAGAAGTTAGCAAACTATAATGCCTGGGCCATATCTGACTTGCTGCCATATTTGTACAACCTTTGAGCTAAGAATAGCTTTTACCTTATTAAATGGTAGTAAAAAAATCAAAGGAGAACAATATTTTGTGACATGTGAAAATTGTACAATATTTCAGATTTCATTGTCCATAAATAAAGTTTCATTGGAACACAATTGCAGTGTAATGGATCACTTTTATACGGCCTTTTTTGCCATGGTCCTGAAACTCCCACCAAATGATTGGGTGGGACTATGCAAATAAGGTGCTTGTGGCCCACCAAGGTGATTGGACAGGTTTCTAATAATGCAAGCAAGGTGCATGGTACCCTTGTGGAGGTGGGAGCATGCAAATCAGGTGTATGGAATCCTAATGAGGGGATTGGTCAGTTTTGCCATACTGTTAGGCTTAAAATGAGCCATTCCAGAGGCAGGAAGGGAGGATTTCAACACCACCAAGGAAGAAGAGCCAGGAGTAGAGCTTGTCGTTTGGACCCAGGATCCCTGCACCGAGAACCTGCCAGATCCAGGAGACAGAGGGAGGAGCTGTAACACAGAAGACAGCAAGAGATGGCAGCACGAGATGGCAGGAATCAGGAGACTGGTGCGAGACAGCTGCTGTGGGGCTTCCCAGCCCATGAAGTGAGAAAGCTGAGAGACTTTGGGCATGAAGCTTACTGGCAGAGTGGGTTGCCTTGGGACACTTATTAGCAGAGCTAAAAGAGCTTTGTAACACTTGCCTGAACAGGGCAGAAGCTGAGGGCCAGAGAGAGGCCTGCCTGTGGCAGGGCTGAGAAGAGACTGTCCTTATGGAAGAACTGTATCCTGAGTGTTCCTGAACCTGAATTGTAACTGTTACTTCCCTAATAAACCCCATAATCATGAGTATTGTCTGTGAGTTCTGTGTGGCCATTGCAATGAATTATTGAAACCAGCAGAGAAGTAGAGAGTGCCATGAGAGGGACAGTCGGTGTCAAAATTGGTAAAAAGGGGAGAGGGAGCAGGCGTATCTGACCACCTCATAGGAATCAGCCTTGGGCCGCTGATCTTGATTCTCCTTTCCACCTGTGAAGTTAGAGGAGGTCAGACACCACCCACTCCACGCCATTTTTACAACAATCATGCTCATTCTCTTAAACACTGTCTATGGCTGCTTTTGTGCTTCAACAGCAGAGTTAAGTAGTTGAGACACTGAGCATACAGCTTGCAAAGGCTAAAATATTTATTTTCTGGCTCTTTATAGAAAAAATTTGTGGATCTCTGCTATAAATATTGAACTGAAAGAGGAAGTCAACTATGATGACCCTTAAGCCTAGACTTCTGTCAAGTGGCAGGAAGGTGCAAAGTGAGAGAGTAGTGACATTGTTAACCCTTGTTCTCCTCCCTGCAACTGGGGCCCAATTAAGGCATGTGAAGGCCTAAGCACTGATAGTCTGTGGTGTCCCCTCCTCTGCTTACTTACATGTTCGAATAGGGCAAGGGAGTTATATATATACAGGTATATGTATGTGTGTGTGTGTGTGTCTTAGCTATCCATGATATAACTTCTTTTAAAACGCAACTGTAGTATTAGCAATGGAATGCAAACGTAGTGTATGCCATTTTAGCAGAATGAGATGAACAGGATTATAAAATTTTTAGTGGGTGAATGTAGCAAGAGTTAGACTCAACAGTCTACTCCTACTCTTGTTTATTAGAAAGAAATAGTATACTCCCAACAGACCCACCGAGATAAGGGGTTTCAATTACACGAGAGGGGATCATGGGAGACAGATGTCAACAAAGGTGTTGAAGTGGTAGGGGTCTCATATCTTAAACAACCTTGTGCATGGGCGCCCTTGTGACCCTGCATGAACTTTATTTCCAGCCAGCACATTTTCACACACTGGAGCTGGTATCAGTTTCATTTGGTACCCTGCCAGTTCCTTTCCACTGTAGCGCTTGCTTTTCCTTGTGTCCTGTCTGCTTGGCATCTATAGGTCTTTGCTTTGGACAACGGGTGCTCTTATTTTGTTGGTGCCCTAAAGGCGTGATTACCTTGCTTACTGGGTAATCTGCCCACAATAGCTCCTTCTTCCTCATTCTCAACGATATAAAATGTGAAAGTACTTTTAAAAGTATGAAATTGCTATGAAAATGTATTTATCTTTATTAGTCTTCCTTCCCCCATTGCAAATAAACTCACTTCAAAGAGGGCAGTAATTGTAAAAGAACTCTTATAACAAAACCTGAACCAAACCCACTGCCATCAAATCGATTCCTACTTATAGTGACCCTGTAGGACAGAGTAGAACTGCTCCATAGAGTTTCAAAGGCTATAATCTTTTTGGAAGCAGATTGTCACATCTTTCTCCCACAGAGCAGCTGGTGGATTCGACTGAGGTGTAGTGAGGGTAAGGAGCGCCCAGGGACAATCTCTAAGGCTGGCTTTGTCTGGCGCCCCCTTGGACTTGTGCCTGGGTAAAAATGCCCCCCTCTCATCTCTGCTCGCTACGCCTCTGGGGTTCTAACCACCAACCTTTCAGTTAGTGGCCAAGTACTTAACCATTGTACCACCAGGGCTCCTTTATCCTATAACAGACACTATAAAAACAGACATTATTAAGCAATAAGACTGAAAACATGTTATATCTTTGCTGCAGCATTGTCTTATGAGTTTAGTGCTCAGGACTTCATTACCTCAGGTGGTCTGAATGCATGTGACTGATATAAATTAGATCAGCTTGGCACAGCCTCTCCAGCCAATCAGAGGGAGGCTCATGGAGCAACCACCATCCTCGGGCAAAAGCAGGACCAATTAACCAAGGGTCAAACACCATCCTCGTATCTCCCAGTTTGAGGTCCATGCAGGCATGAGTGAGATATGTTATCTGTTGGAAGAGTGTGAGATTAATATTATCAAATCATTACTGGCTAGCAACAATGGACTGGTTAACTGACTAAATCATGCTGGAGAACTTTGCTCCTAAGCACGGTCAGGCAAAAACATAGGACTCAAGTAGAACTCAGCAGGAAGCTTTATAGAGAGCACAATTTCCAGCAAAAAAAAAATTAGTTGCCATGGAGTCGATTTCAACTTATGGCAATGTCATGTGTATCAGAGCAGAATTGTGCTCCATAGTGTTTTCAATGGCTGTGATCTTTTGGAAATAGATCACCAGGCCTCTCTTCTGAGCCACCTCTGGGTGGACTTGAACCTCCAACCTTTCAGTTAACAGCTGAGCACATTAACTGTTTTCATGACCCAGGGATGCCTTAGGCGTTAAACCAATTGACTTTCCTAGTTTTATTCTTCCTCACCGTCTGTCAGTTTGTTGTACTGTGGGGGCTTGCATCTTGCTATGCTGCTGAAAACTATGCCACTGGTCATTCTAATACTGGCAGGGTCACCTATGGACAGGTTTCTCCAGAGCTTCCACACTAAGACAGACTAGGAAAAAAAAGGCCTGTGGATCTACTTCTGAAAATTAGTCAATGAAGGCCCTATGGATCACAACAGAATATTGTACAATACAGTGCTGGAAGATAAGCCACCTAGGTTAGAAGGCACTCAAAATACACAGTGCCCACAACAATGGGCTCAAACATATCAATGATCGTGAAGATGGCAATGTTTGATTCTGTTGTACATGGGGTCGCCATGAGTCAGAGCGGACTCGATGGCCACTAACAAGTTTTACTCTATTTAAATTAGCTCTTACACACTTATTTACAGTCTGCACTGCAGAATATCTTTGTGACCAGTACCTTCACTTCACAGTTTACAAGCAAAGGCAGTAGAAATGTGATGACAGGCACTTGAGGATTTAAATGCCAGAGTGGTTGTGAATAAGAATACGAATGAATTATTCTCTGTGAGTTTGGGTAGCTTGGCACAGGCAGAGTGGACTGGCAACTGGCTAAACAGGTTTGGAAGACTTTCTCTTCCAAATTACCTGCTAACTCACCCCTTCAGGATGCCAAAGTCCTCTGAGAATGGCTACAAACAATGGCTTTGAGACAGGAACAGGCTGGGGGATTCTAAATAAGTTCCTCACTCTCTTTCCATGGTCTGGTACATCCACAGGAAAAAGGGATGCAATCAGGAGCAGAGATAAGGTAACAGAAACTCTTGTGTGGACAGCCAAAAAAAGTGAGTGAGGAGAGGTCAAAGAATCAAATTAATTTTTTTATTATGACTATTTTGGGTCATTATGAGTTGGAATTGACTCAATGGCAATGCAGTGGGTTTTTTATTCTGGGTACAGGAGTCTCTGGGTGGTGCAAATGGTTAAATACTCAACTACTAGCAGAAAGGTTGGTGATTTGAACGCACCCAGAGGTGCCCTGGAAGAAAGGCCTGGCAATCTGCTTCCAAAAGGTTATAGTTTTGAAAACCCTACCAAGTATAGTTCTACTCTTGAGCTCACCATGAGTCAGAATCAACTCGGCAGCAACTAGTTTGATTTTTTTTGTTTGCTTTTTAATTCTGGGTACATTCCCATTTGTTTCCTAAAAAAAATAACTGCTGTTTTCACATGCTTCCCAAATATCCAGAAAAATGAATTTTTGCTGTTTACCTTTTCTGAAGCAGGAGAATGCACAAGGTGGTTTGTAAAAGATCTCAAGGAGCAACGTGCAGAAATATACAACCAGCCATTCTATTAGACAGTGATCTGGGCTGGCATCATGAGTAGTTTCTGAACTTCCTTCATTCGTTTTTCATAACTCACCTTTGAGAGTTTCCTCTAAAGTTTCTTTCTGACTATATTTCCTTGCAATCCTTACCAAGTTCTGGGAGTCTCTAAAAGAAACTTGCTCAAGAGAATGATTTTATTATAGGTCCTTCCTAATTAACCACCTCAAAGAGTATTTGTAGTAGTGGAGGCTGTAAAATAAATCTGGAACTGTAATAAATGACTTAGTTTTATTTTTATTTTTAAGAATATTATAATTTTAATGTGTGTGTGTTTTTACCTGCACTTCTCCAAAAGCCAAATCTTCAGGAGTTCTGGGATCTGAATCCCAGGGGTTAGGAGGACTCAGTTCTAGGAGTGAAAATCCATTTTTTCCATCCATTTCAACAACTAGAACCAAAGGGGAACAAAACTGGATTAACAACAAAAATGACCTTTTAGAAGTGTCACTGAAATAGAAATGCATTGCCCAGGTACACAAGAGTGCCAGAATCCAAGGAAAATCAAAGCAAAAGACAATGCTCACTTGGGCCAAGCAATACCTGCTGAGATGAAGGGTTAAGACCAATACCAATTCATTTCCTCATTCATATTACGCTGGGGAACTCATGAGATCCCAGTCACATCAGGGGCACAAACACACACAACAACTTCACTACAATTAAATCCATGTTATAGAGATGGGTTCAGGATGGCTATGGATACTTTATCAGGAAAAATCAATCACTAGAGGAAGACATCATGTTTGACAAAGTAGAGTGTTAATGAGGGCATGGTAGACTATTTGTTAGATGGATTGGCACTGTCTGCAACAATGGATTTCAACATGCTGGCGATTGTGAGGATGAGGCAGAACTGGACAACATTTTGTCCTGTTGTAATATATGGTCACTGTCACAGTCACCTTGACGGCAGCAAACACGGGAGTGTGGAGGAAGGGGCACCTGGTCAGTTTCCAAGATCCAAAGTTCATTTCAAATATGATGTAACCCTTGAGCTAGACTTGAAAGATGAAATATTTGGGGACGGACAAAAGAAATATAACTTTGTAAGGCAGAAGGAATGAAAGAACAGTATATGGAAAGGTTTGGAGGCATGAGAGAGCTTGGTATTCACAAAGTGACTGGTAATTTATGACTGAGGAAATTGGTGTTTGAGTCAGGCAGGAAAGACCACGGGCCAGAGGAGTTCACAAAGGACCTTAGTTACCATGCCAAGGAGTTTGGGTTTTACTTTATGGTAATGAGGGACACTGAAGAATTTTAAGCAAGTGTAACAGACACTGGTAGCCTAAACAGATTCCATTCTGTTCTTCTCCCTTCCTATCAGCATCCTCATTTTACTAGGAGTGGTGATATGCCTATTTAAAGGTCATGATTCCCCAAGATCCCTGAGTGGCCATAGACATAGCTCTTACATATAGTACATGTAGTTTTGGCCAATTAGATGTGAGCAGAAGCCTATTAGTGGGACTTCCAGGAAAATTGTTATTTTCCTCTTCAAGAGGGGCAGACACAAAGGACCTGAACCATTTGCCTTTTGGCTGTTCCTCCTCTTGTTTGGAACTTGGTTGCCATGCCTGTACAAGCAGGAGCCATCTTGAAACCCTGAGAAAAATAGCCACATACTAAGGATGACAGAGGAGGAAGATAGAAGGAACCTGAGTCTGTAATAAACCATGGAATGACTACCCATGTACTACCCAGGACTGCCTGCCTTCCAACTTCTTATTATGTGAGAAAACAGCACCTATATATTCAGTCCACCATTATTTGGGTTTTCTGTTACATGTAGCTAGCTGAAAGCAATACCTAACTGCTATAGCAAGGGAGTAATAAAATCAGAGCCTAATTTCAGAAAGATCACCATGAAAGCATGGGGAAGATCAATTGGAGGGAGATAAGATCACATTCAAGGGCTCTCACCATAGTGTTGGAAAGCCATTAGCAAAGTCATAATGGTCATGAGCTTGGAAATCAGAAAGCCTTGTTTGGAACCTTTCCCCTCCCATTTAACAGATGGATGACCTTGGGCATGTTATTTAATGTCTCTGTTCTTCAATGTTTTCATCTTTAATCCTATCTACCTCCAAGGATAGTTAATCCTAACAAATGCCAGCCATTACTACTAATTGCTAAATGAAAGCAAATGAGGTCTTAGACCAAGGCAGTCCTTGTGGAGATGGTGTCACTGCCCTGCTCTCAAAGCCATTCACTTACCACTTTCTTCGAAGTTTATGAAAAAAGGCTTTACCCAAATTAGAGCCATACCTCACACCACATACAAAAATTAACTCAAAATTGATCAATCACCTAAATATGAGTTAAATTTTTATAAGAAAACTTTGTTTTTCAAAATGGAATCTTAGCTATGACAACAAAAACATGAGCAACAAAAGACAAAATAAATTACCTTAATTTGAAGGTGCTATCTGTTATCCTTTTGTGAACAAATCCCGTACAATAATAAAGAATAGAAAAGCCTGTTGCGATCAAGTCGACCCCAACTTGTGGCAACCCCATGTTATAAAGAGTAAAACTGTCCCATAGGATTCTCTTGGCTGTAATCTTTATGGAAGCAGATCACCAGCCCTTTCTGCTGTAACGCTGCTGGATGTGTTCGAACTGTCTACCTTTAGTTTAGTAGAAGAGAGCAAACCATTTGCACCAGACTAGCTATCCTTAAAACCCAGATTCAGAAGAGTGATTATCTCTGGGAGTTGGAAGGGGGAATGTGATGTGGTCAAGGAAAGGTATATAAAGAGCTTCTGTTGTTAATGTTTTATCTCTTAAGCTGGGTGCTGCATACACGGGTGTTCATTATTTTTATGCTTTTAAAATATTATTTTGTTGCTGTGTGCCATCCACTCAATTCTGACTCATAGTGACCCTATGTGACAGAGTAGAACTGTTCCATAAGGTTTTCTAGGCTGTAATCTTTACGGGAGCAAATCACCAGGTCTTTTCTCCCGAGGAGTTGCCAGTGGGTTTGAATCTCCAACCTTTTGGTTAGTAGCCAAGTGCTTTATCATTGTGTCACCAGGGCTCCTTAAATATTGCTTAAGAAATGTAATAAAAACAATATCTTTCTTAAAATAATAGTTATCAGCTTATTTAATGGTGAAACATAAATGGTTTCTTTAATAAAATCAGTAAGAAACAGTATCTTATAGCCTTTTTTGTAAATAAACCATCCTTAAATTATCCTAATTTAAGGGTGCCATCTGTTTTCCTTTTGTGAACTTAACCAGTACAATAATAAAGAATGTTTTTATTATTAGGTGCCTTCGAGTCGGTCTCACTCACAGCGACCCATGTACAACAGAATGAAACACTGCCTAGTCCTGTACCATCCTCACAATCGTTATTATGCTCGAGCCTATTTTTGCAGCCACTGTGTCAATGCATCTCGTTGAGGGTCTTCCTCTTTTTCGCTGACCCTCAACTTTGCCAAGCATGATGTCCTTGTCCAGGGACTGATCCCTCCGAATAACACATCCAAAGTATGTGAGACGAAGTCTCACCATCCTTGCTTCTAAGGAGCATTCTGGCTGTACTTCTTCCAAGACAGATTTGTTTGTCCTTCTGGCAGTTCGTGGTATATTCAATATTCTTCGCCAACACCATAATTCAAAGGCATCAATTCTTCTTCAGTCTTCTTTCTTCCTTTTCCAACTTTCACATGCATATGAGGTGATTAAAAGTACCATGGCTTGGGTCAGGTGCACCTTAGTCCTTAAATATGATATCTTTGCTTTTTAACACTTTAAAGAGGTCTTTTGCAGCCAATTTGCCCAATGCAATGCATCTTTTGATTTATTAACTGCTGCTTCCATGGGTGTTGACTGTAGATCCAAGTAAAACGAAATCCTTGACAACTCCAATCTTTTCTCCGTTTATCCTGATGTTGCTTATTGGTCCAGTTGTAAGAATTTTTGTTTTCTTTATGTAGAGGGGTAATCCATACTGAAAGCTGTAGTCTTTGATCTTCATTAGTAAGTGCTTCAAGTCCTCTCCACTTTCAGCAAGCAAGGTTGTGTCATGTGTATAAAGCAGGTTGTTAATGTGTCTTCCTCCAATCCTGATGCCTAGTGTCATGGATTGGATTATGTCCCCCAAAAAATGTGTGTATTAATTTGGCTGGGTCATGATTCCTGGTATCGTGTGATTTTCCTGTATGTTGTAAATCCTGCCTCTATGATGTTAATGAGGGAGGATGGGTGCAGTTGTGTTAGTTAGGCAGGACTCAGTCTACAAGATTGGATTGTGTCCTGAGGCAATCTCTTGAGATATAAAAGAGAGAAGTGAGCAGAGAGACAATGGGACCTCATACCACGGAGAAAGCAGTGCCAGGAGCAGAGCCTGTCCTTTGGACCAGAGGTCCCTGAGTGGAGAAGCTCCTAGTCTGGGGGAACATTGATGAGAAGGCCACCAGAGAGAAAAAGCCTTTCCCTGGAGCTGACACCCTGAATTTGGACTTTTAGCCTACTTTACTGTGAAGAAATAAATTTCTCTTTGTTAAAGCCATCCACTTGTGGTATTTCTGTTGTAGCAGCAGTAGATGACTTAGACAGTCTCTATGCCTCCGGCACAAACAGAAATTGCCTGCATGCCCTGAAGAGCATGTAACATCTGCAAACTTTCTTCCTCTGTAAATAAAGTAGTGAGAATGTGGTAACCTTATTTTGACCTTACAAGCTAATGAAATCTAGGTTATTTGGCTCATAATTGTAATATTAATCTAGAAGGACAAACAAATGACATTCCTTAAAATCTTTTCATAAAGAAGAATAATGAAGAATTAGAATAAACACATATTAGAAAACCATAATAATTAAATCAGTGAATATTGGCATAAGGACAGCCAAGAAGAGGATCTTAATTATATGACAATGATGTTCTCTTACATTTCTTCTGTTCCTTTTATATTTGTGAACCTCTAAAGGAGGTATCATAAATCTGTGGGAAAGAAATGGCTATCTAACAAAAGGTACTGCAGCAGTTGGTTAGCTAAGTATTCCAGTTCATTAAGGACACAAAGAAAAGCAACCAAGCAATTAAAAAGAATAAAATAGAATATTTATCAATATGAGTATAAGGGAGGATTTCTAAGTTTAACAGCAATTGAAAAATCCGAATGGAAAATTTGAATAGATACAGATGTGGAAGTGGCTGCATAGGCCTGGCTCACTATTATTTACTCTCCATTGCTAATGTCCCATGATCTTGTTTCTCCAGTCTCTACAAAGGGTTTAAGATTAACTGATGTTCCTCCTTGGAGGGTAGAAAACAAGTGATAATGATCTAAGGATGAAAACCAAACAAAGCACCCATCATGTGACAAGAAAAACCAGGATGTCTCCAGATAATCCCCAAGGATGTCACCAGACA